CATAAACGACGAACTTCATATAACCAATTAGGAGAGTAGATGTATTAGATTTAACCTATGTTAAGAAGTAGAGGTAGACCTAAAAGACTTGTTAGAAAATATTAGAAACGACCTTTCTTTATTAGATTTAAATGAGAATTTGACTCTTAACCAAATACAATGGAGAAAAATGATTCACATACCGATCCCATGTTGATAGTGGATAGTGGTTGATGTTGTTGTTGTTTCTTAAAAAAAAAAATATAACTTTAGTCATATTTTATAAAATATGATTGGTAAAAATATTGTGTGACTAACTTTAAAATACCTTATGTTTACATTTGATTTCTCTAAATCAATAAATATCTATTTAATAAAATATGGACAATTTGTGTTTGAACACATGTAATAGCTCCTGCATACATATCTTTAATGATTTGAATATAAGCATTATTGACTCCTTTCTTTTCAAGAACTCTCCATAGCACTTCTCTTGGAACTTTATCATATGCTTTTTCTAAATCAATAAATATCATATGTAGATCCTCCTTATTTTCTCTATATTTCTCCATCAAACCTCTTAATAAATGTATGGCTTCCATAGTCGACCTACCCGGCATGAATCCAAATTGATTTTGAGAAACATTAGTATCACGCCGCAACCTATGCTCCATAACTCGCTCCCATAGTTTTAAAGTATGACACATTAACTTAATACCTCTATAATTCGCACAATCTTGTGCATCACCTTTATTCTTAAAAATAGGAATTAACATACTCATTCTCCACTCATCTGGCATCTTTTTAGTCTTCAAAATAGTATTAAAAAGTTTAGTAAGCCATGAAATTCCTTCATCTCCTAAGCATTTCCACACCTCTATTGGGATATCATCAGGTCCAACAGTTTTTCCACCCTTCATTTTCTTTAAAGCCTCTCTAATTTCAGTTTTACTAATATGCCGATAAAAACATAAATCTTTATTTTCATCTAGGGTGCTAAGGTCACTATAGTCAATCTTATTTTCACAATCTTCATTAAAAAGTTTAGCAAAATATCTCATCCATCTTTGTTGAATATCATCTTCTAAGAAAAGTATTTTTTTGATCTTCATCTTTAATACACTTCACTTGAACTAAATCCTTACTACTCCTATCTCTTTGTTTGGCTAACTTATACATATATCTTTCTCCCTCTTTAGTATCTAATCTATTATATAAATCACTAAAAGCTAATGTCTTTGCATCGCATATGGCTTTCTTAGCATCCTTACGAGCAACTTTATATATTTCCCAATTATCGGAATTTTTAAAATTAAACCAATTTTTATAACAAAGCTTCTTATTTTTAATTTTTTCTTGCACATTAGGATTCCACCACCAACTATTTTTACTATTAGGAGCTTTTCCCTTTGATACTCCAAGGACATCTTTTGCAATATTCTTAAGATCACTAGCCACTTTTTCCCACATAATATTAGCATCCTCATGCACAGACAAAATCTTACGATCTAAAATCTTATCTCCAAAAATATTTTTGTTAATATTCTTTAAATGCCCCCATCTAATCCTAGAAAATTGTTTTACTTTATTTTTTATTTTATGCCCCTTTATCTTAAAGTCCAAAACTAATAATCGATGTTGGGTACATAAATTTTCACTCGGAATAACTTTACAATCTTTGCAATCTAAACGATTTAATTTTCTAATAAGAAAATAGTCAATCTGGGTTGTACTATATCCATTTTTATAAGTGATGAGATGCTCATTCCTTTTCTTAAATAAGGTATTAGCAATTGAAAAATCATAAACTAAACAAAAATCCAATATGGTCTTGCCACCTTCATTTGTCGTTTCAAATCCATGGCCACCATGAATGCTTTTAAAATCATCTACCTCTCTACCAACATGTCCATTTAAATCTCCTCCAATAAAAACTATTTTTTCAAGAGGTATATTTTGTATTAATTCTTCTAAGTCATTCCAAAAATTTAATTTATAACTCATATCCAAACCTACTTGAAGAGCATAAGCACTTATAATATTAACAATCTTATCATCAACAACAATCTTTAAAGCTATAATTCTATCTCCAATTCTATTAATTTTTATAACATTAACATTTAAACTCTTATCTATAATAACACTTACACCATTTCTAGTACGACTCCTACCCGAATACCAAAGTTTAAATCCTAAACTATCAATTTTCTTAGCCTTCTCTCCAACCCATTTAGTTTCCTGAATGCACAAAATATTTAACTTCCTATGAATCATAATGTATATTAATTCCATTAATTTTCCTGTAAGGGAACCGATATTCCAAGTTTCTATTCTAATTTTAGTTTCATGGACTAGCTTCTTTGCCCACATCCGTCCTTGATGTGGGAACCCTTGCCTATTTAACACTGCACCCGGGCGCCGGTGCAGCGGCCCTTGCACACTTGTCACTGTATTCAGATCATACAGCGCGTCGCTTCCAAGGGACGCCCTAGTATTAACACAATTTCTTAAAGGATTCATGTCATTATTGTTCGACAAGTTTTATGCTGATTGTCGACTACCTAACGCAACCCTTCACTTTTCTCATCCAGGACTTGGGACCTGGCAACGACAATGTTAATGCTAAAACAACGATACACTATATTTTTCATACTCTGCCCCTACACAATCTCTGCAATCTAAATGATTTATTTTTCTTACAAGGAAATAATAAATCTACGTTTTACTATAATCATTCTTATAAATGATTAGCTACTCATCTCTTTTCTTAAATAAGGTATTAACAATAACAAAATCATAAGCTAGAGAAAAATTTAATATAGTCTTACCGCCTTCATTAGTCACTCCAAACTCATAGACATCATGAATGTTTTTAAAATCCTCAACCTCTCTACCTACATGTCCATTTAAATCCCCCCCAAATAAAAACTCATTCATTAAGAGGTATCTTTTGTATTAATTCTTCTCATTCCAAAATTTTAATTTTGAGCACATATTTAAACCAACTTGAGGAGCATAAACATTTATAATATTAATAATCTTATCATTAATAATAATCTTCAAAGCTATCATTCTATCACCAATTGTATCAATTTTTATAATATTATCTTTCTAACTCTTATCTATAATCACATCTACACCATTTCTAATACGACTCCTACTAGAATATCAAAGTTTAAACCCTAAACTATCAATCTCCTTAGCCTTCTCTCCCACCCATTTAGTTCCTTAAATGCATAAAATATTTATCTTCTAATAAATCATAATATCAATTAATTCCATTAATTTGTCTGTAAGGAAACCTAAATTCCACGATCCTAACCTAATTTTAATTTTATGGACTAGCTTCTTTGCTCACATCCGTCCATGATGTAGGAACACTTGCCTATTTAACATTACATCCAGGCGCCGATGTCGCGGCCCTTGCACACTTCTCACTATATTCAGGTCATACAACACGTCGCTTCCAAGGAACGCCCTAGCATTAGCACAATGTATTAAAAGATTCATGTCATGATTATTCAACAAGTTATACGCTGGTTGTCGACTAACTAACGTAACCCTCCACTTTTCTCATCCAAGATTTAAGACCTGAGAATGGCAGTGTTAGTGGTGCAACACGAGGACTTCCCAGGATGTCACCCCTCCTAGTACTACTCTCGCCCAAGCACACTTAACTATGAAATTCTAATGAGATCTGATGCACTAGTTTTTTTATTAAAGACATGCTTAATAATTTTTTTAATTTATAATTACTTGAAAATTATATTTAATTAAAAAATTACCAAAATACCCTTACATTTAACACCATTAACTCCAACATTAGATGTTAAGATAAAAAATATCCTATTTTAAAGAGTTAAAGAACCAAATTGGTCCCTCAAAAAATTGGGGACTATTTTAGTCTCTCACAAAGAGTTTGAGAGACTATTTTGATCCTTTACTCTTAAAAAAATAAAAAATGTATAAAAGTAGTAGAATATCAAAACTAAATATCCTTTAAAAAAAGGAAGCCGTTATAACTAGGATTGATAATATCATCTTTAATCTGTAGAGCAACTTTTGAAAGACACGATAAAGTACTAAATGAAGGACAACTTCTACGTAACTAAGATATGGTCTGAAAATCCAAGTAGAAGAATTTACCAAATTTGGGAACATATTCCTTAGAGGAGCCATACGGGTCTGCCCACCATACACTTGACCCGATGCAACATAAATCTGGGTTTCCTTAGGGTATCCCATGGCACGTAGAATAACAGCTACCTCACCGGGCTCCAGAGGGCAACGTCCCTCCTTTCGCTTCTGCAATGCAAGCTGCCAAAGATGAGACCCATTCTGCAAACAGATATCAGAAAAGCACCATATATCAGCCTTTCATATGATTCCCTATTTAGAATTCGTTAGTTAAAATTCTCAAATACCTTGTATCGCCTTGGCCATTCCTTCTGCCTGTATGCTGCCATCATGGCCTTTTCCTCTCTTGTTCCAACAAAATCACAAAATGAAAGACCAACCATTCCCTTCTCAAATCTCAGATGAAGCGCCCTGTGGGAAAAAAAAAACGAGTCAATAATATAAACAAAATATATTGATGAAAATGATAATCTGAACAGATAAGCTTTACAAGAAAAAGGATATCAAACCACTGGTTACATGTAAGGGTTTGGACTTCCAGTCCGATTTCTCATCCTTACTGCTAGGAGATCAGCCATTTCTTCAATCTCTGGTAAAAATTTCAATGCATGGTAATTGACACGGCACCTAAGCCGGTTTATTTCAGGAGGGACATTATCATACCTGAAATCCGCATGGCAAAGGTTTATATCTAATGCTTGTATGAAAATGAAGCTTCTTATTAAATTGTTCTAAAGAAAGATGCTAAATGCCTAGAGTATTGTAATTCAAAAAAGTTATGTTCTAATTTAAATAGCAATCATACTGGTAAAGGAAAAAAAAGTACAGTTAAGAGATCTGCAAGTTCATCACACATCACAACATGCTAGAGCAGACAAAAAATAAAAGAATAAATAAGCTAATGTTGGACTTACCCCAGCCTATCGACAAAGGGCTTGAGAGCCATAATTTTCTTCTCCTTGATCCGTGGAAGCACATTATCTATATAAAAATGTGCCGGAGCATACTTTGGGATGTTTTTCACCGTACGCCTACCAAAAAAAGAACTTCAAGTCAACGCCTCTATTTTTAACAATGACGTGTAGCAATTAATGATACTGAATGCAAACTGAACAACTTCAACTTCATATGGATGTCAAATAAGATGTGGGATCTCAACTAGATATAAAGAATGAATGCAATAACTGAACTATACGGCCTCATGGTAAAACTATCACTCTACATCATCGACAGATCATGCGAACAAAACAGTGAAGAAAGGCGTTACAAGGACCATGATAGATTTAACGTTCTATTAAATTTTGAGATCATAACCTTTGCATCAATCAAATCCAGGGTCAAACAAGTCCTTACAAGGAGCAAGAAATATTGGTTAAATAACACTAGATGGGAGGTCCAGCACTTCAAGTATGACATAGTAAAGATAAAAACCTTATGATTAGAACTTTGTTCTGAAAAGTATATAGATTTAGTTTCAGAAGGAAAACAAAAATAAACAAACAACGGTGAAGTGCATTACTTGTTGAAGTCCATGAGATATGCCAATTGGTCTTACAAATAAAAGAAAGCCCAGATAGCCAATTCTTCCTCACGGCATACAAATCCTAGTGTTATAAAGACAAATTTCTAAATAAAATATGCCTAGAATGTTCACCATTATTAGGAAAACCCCAAAACTTTTAAAAAGAAAAGAAAACATATATATGTCCAACATAAAGCACAATCTACTAAAATGCTTAGGCAAAGACCTTATACTTGTAAACAGCTCTGCTTTATCGGTGAACCAATCAGGAATATCACGAACAATACGCACATCATCCTTAAGGTATTCAATGAAATGATCTACGTCAAATATGTCTTCAAGTTTCCTGCAAACAATTAAAAACAAGGAATACATAAAACTTCTAAACAATAAACACAGGTGGCAAAGATAAATCAAGCGGTAACAGTAGAAAAAAAAAAAACAAGTAGATAATCCCCCGTGAAATTCTCAAAGTGATAAGTATCAGGTTACTACAACCAGCAATTTTAAAGACTTTAAAAATATTTATAAATGGTAGACCATGAAATCTCGATGAAGAGTCCCTATGTTTGCTAATAAACATTTCACAATTTTATGAATAGAGTATGATCTCCTTAACTTTATTTGTATCCAGCTTTACCAGGGCTTCAGTAAACCTGTCAAATGCTACTCCCAAAGGTTGTTTAAGGTCATACAAAGCCTACTGTAATTTACACACTTTATTCATTGTGAAAGAATTATAAAATCCAAATGGTGTATTCATTTAGATTTCTTCAAAATCCTTTGAAGGAAAGCATTCTTTGTATCATACTATTGCATAAACCACACACGATTATCTACAAGAGAAATTAAGAAGCATACTGCATTCATTTTTGCAACCAAAGTAAAAATTCTTCTTAATCAATTTCATATGATTGAGTATATCATTTGGCTATCAATCTTATTTTATACCATTCTAAGCTTTTCATCTGCTCTATGTTTTATATAAAAAATTCATTTACATCCTAATATTTTCTTCCCTTTTAATAGTTCAATGATTTCCCAAGTATGATTTTTTTTAGAGCATTTATCTCTTCTTATGGCAACCTTCTAATACTTATTTTTAAGTGTTTCAAATAGAGTTAGTGGATTTATAATTGAATTATATATGATATTTGTAAGGAAGGCTTTATGGGTAAGAGAAATTATTTGAAAGACGTGCATGGGAGATGAGATGCAAAATAGAATGTATAGTGATGGGTTGATCATTATTACCTGATAACTGTTTCAAGTCTTGAGCTTGCTAGAGATTTTGGCTAGACTTATTCCTTCTTGTATAAACTTGGTAATAATGTTTGGATTTTTTTAAATTCACATTACAAGAATGTCAAGAAGAAAGATAGATGTTTTACAAATTTATCTTCTAGTTGCAAGTTCACTTAAAGATAAATTTGATTGAAAAAACTTTGCTTCTCATCATAAGTGACACATTTTAAAGTACAAAATTTTTTGGTGGTAGAATGACAATATTCTTACCCTTTTTAAGTGAAGGAATAGCCATTAAAGACATATTTGAGAGTTTTAGAATCAAGTTTATCCCTGTGTTATTTGTGGATGTCAACGTAGACAATACACCAAAAGATTTATGGAGGAATTTTTTAGGAAGATATTTGTAGGTAAGAATTCAGTCAAACAGTTTATAGGACATTCGAAGTCAAACACTCTTGCAAGTATTCTATTGATTGGTATATACCAGTTAAGACTACTTCTTCCCAATATCTTTTTATTGCTTCTGGAAGTGAATGATCTTGACTTATGTTAAGAAAGGTAGGGGTAGACCTAAAAAGACTTGGTTAGAAAATATTAGGAATGACCTTTCTTTATTAGATTTAAACAAGAGTTTGACTTTTAATAGGACACAATGGAGAAAAAGGATTCATGTAGCCGACCCCACATAGTGGGATAAAGGCTTGATGTTGTTGTTGTTGTGAAGTGCATGATCTAGTTGCATTTCAAATATAAAACTTTTTCTTTCTATCTCACCCATTTTGTGAAGGGCGTCAAGATAGGTAGAATTGATACAATGATAACTTCTTTTTCAAAGAAAGTATCGCTATTGCTTAAATTTAAAGTAATTAACAAGCATTAATTAGTGTAAATACCTTGAATTTTTTTCTAAAAACTAACAACAACAAAACATACATTTCATGCCTTAATCCCACTATTCGTGGGTGGCCGGTACATGAATCCTTTTTCCCATTGTGTCTACTATTAAAGTCAAATTCTCGTTTAATATCTAAGAAGGTCATTCACTACCATATTTTATAACCAAGTCTTTTTAGGTTCTACCGCCTTACCTTTCTTAACATAAGTGAAAATTCAATACCTCTACTCTCTCTAACCGGGTCATGTAAGCGCCGCCCCGATTTTTATGTCGACCAAAACATACTAAGGCGACTTTCTCTAATCTTATCTCTACTGGAGTTACTCCAACCTTTTCACGTAATGCTTCATTCGTATCCTTAGTCTCTAAGGCTAACAAGGCCACAATCACCTGACCCCACCTGAGCAATCCTCATCTCACTGCACCACTTAACTTAAGTATTATGACTTTCTTTTAAAGGCCACATTCGGCCCATAAAGCTATTGCTAAGGCCTTCACTACCATTCTTAATTAGTAATTCCTTTCAAGTTTGAGAGGTACATTCTATCACTAACAAGCCGATTTAAAATTCGCCTCCATCTATCAATCCATTCCAACTTGAATTCTGCTGATAATATATCCACTTCCCCCATCTATTTCACCATCACTCTAACAAGGTAATATTTCCCAAGATATCTAAAAACGTTACTACTCTTATTAATATACTTCGTGCCCAAAGTCAGCATTCCCCTCTAACTAGGTTTATTACTACTAAAATTATACACTCTTTCATTATTTTATTACGAGTTTTAAGATCTATATCAAGGAAAACCTTTTAGAGCTCTAAGGTTGACCTCCATAATTCCAAGTTTACCTTAAC